TTTTTTTTCCAAATCATTCTTTAGATATTACAAGAAATTTTGACGTCAACTATAATCAAACTGTCTAATGGAAAGAGAAATAATTAAATTGAAATTAATATAGAAAATATTCTTTGAATATTTACACACAAAAACTTTTAGCATTAAATTTAAATGTATTCCTGAATTTCTAATAACCAACTGTTACAATTGGCCACCTAATAATTATAAAGCGCATAATTCTGTAACGCCACTATACCGCACTCATTGAAACCGTACTAATCGAGGAATTACATGAAGAATAAAAAGTATAATTTATATATAAAATATAATTTTTGTAAACTAATTCCTTTGTATTTTGTTTAATTAAAATCCGGTAAATCCGGACTGATCGAAACCGCACTATGCGTGGTATTTAAGTATTTCGTTTTTTTCCCAAATCATTCTTTAGATATTACAAGAAATTTTGAAGTCAATTATTTTCAATTTATTTTCAATATTAAGACTAAAGTATGGTATTAATATATTTTTATTATGCGGCCAATACATTTGTAAAAATGCGGACTATTAGAAAACATCTGGTACCATTAAGAATGCGACGTTTATGTCTATTTCTGGAAATTATAGAATATTTAGTTTTCTCAAAATTACCTAAATTCTACTAATAATAGTAAGAGGTAGATAAACCTTTTTTGGGGTCCAATACAATGTAGGGAGGAAACATAGAAAATTTGGACCAATGGTAGCGATCACCAGGTTTAGGTGTAAATTTGCAAGGTGGGGGTGAACTGATGATGGTAGAGAGACTCTGAAGATATCATTGCAGGAGCAGATCTCTTTCAGAAGCATCCAACTTCTTTCGTAAAGTTTCACTTATTTTACATATTTTTTTTCAATATGTTTATTCCAATCATCGCCAGTCTCCTACAAAATTACTCGTTTTTGCTGAAGTTAAACCGTCAATCTCAGGATAAGCTGCGTCCGTACCTGAAAAGTGAGGATCTAAATACGGCTTTAAAGGTAATCAATCTAATGGTTTGTTGTTACATATTATTTAATAATTTTTCTATATTTTGTTTTAGTTGATTGATGAGTGCGAACATGAGATTACGTACGGGGAGAAAATTGAGATGTTCAATTTGGAGGTCATGAAGATTGAGATAGGAAAGACTCAAAGGAGAATTGATAAGTTCAAATCATTCGAGTGTGATTGTCAAGACACTATGAGGTATATTTATTTGAACATGAAGGCTCGTGACGGTATCGCCAACAACTTGCCCCAATTGGAGGAAGCCTCTGGGAAAGCGTTGTCATCTATCCAAGAATATGTGCATAGTGTCTATGTGTCGCACATGGATCCGATAAATAAGGATTTGAAACTCAATAAGAAGTTAAGATACATCGACATGGAGAATATGTTCAGTAATATAAGACTCGATTTCGTACACTTCGATAAGCACTTCGATCGTTTATTACGGTATTTAGAAAGTAAGCTGCAAATGGATGATCACAAACGTTCGTTCTACATGAAAGAGGTTGTCAACTATTTGGACGGTGAAAGCGACACTTTCTTAAGCTTCCTGAATGCACATGACACCGAGTTCTTGGAAAAGACGTTTAGATGCGGGTCATCCACTAAGGAGGTTCAGAATATGGCCAGGAATTCGTTAAGACATGTTCTGATCAAAAGAGGATACAAATTAGATAATCTTGAGGTGGCTGAGAAGACCGTCGAACTTACCGATGAGCAGAAGAAGTTGAAGATGGACTTAAAAACGTATTATAGCGATTTGGAAGATGTTCTGGAAAGCGTCAAATACTTGCAGGTGATCTCTTGCATCCAATATTTTCATAAATTGCAGGTTAGTGTAGACAGAAGCAAGGAAATGATCAGCAAGATTACAGGGAGGCCATTTATCGAAGGGTACAATGAAGTACAAAATGAAGAAGAAAAAAAAGAAGAAGAAAGAGAAGAAGAGATAGAAGATGAGGAGACAGAAGAAGAAAATGAAGAAGAAGAAAGAGAAGAAGAGGAGAAAGAAGAAGAAAATGAAGAAGAAGAAAGAGAAGAAGAGGAGAAAGAAGAAGAAAATGAAGAAAAAGATGAAGAAGAAACAGAAACAGAAGATGAATACGTTGAATGCGAAGAATGCAATGGGTGCGAAGAATGCTATGTATGTGATGGATGCGATGCATGCAATAAAAATGATGAAGAGAATGAAGAAGATGAAGAGACTGAATAGGATGACGAATATAAAGACGATGACGAGGATGAAGTCGATGGAGACTATGAAGAAGTAGACTAATTAGTCTATGAATATGGAGGAGCATTTCAAAATCTTCTAAGATCTCAATCTACCTGCAAGATTTTCAAACAGCCAAATAATTTTGATCTCACTTGCTTGCATGGAATTTGTACATATGTTTTACTTTCAATATTTATACTATTTTACCAATTTTAATTTTACGTACTATAGTAAATCTGCACCATTCCAATCAAGTATTACTATATTCGCATAATTGTGAGGTCTCTGCAATAACAACATACAACAATTTAATGTAAATAAGAAATTATATAGATGTTTATTTAAAAAAAATATATCACACATAACTAAATAAAGAAAACTATTAATTAATTTTAACAAAAAGTCTAAACACCAACAAATAATTACAAAAAAAAAGCAATAGTCCGTTTGAAACCGAACTAATCGAGGAGTTTCAAACTATATTTGTATCAAAAACATTAATTATCAGATTTTGTTTTGATTACTTCAAATTTTCTTTAAGCTTGAATAACCGTTCCATAGACAGTAAATCCGCACTGTTCGAAGCAGGTATTGCTGTATTCGTATGATTTTAACAATTTTTCTGCATAAAAGGATACAATTTAATAATTTCGATATATAAATGATCAAAATATTTATTGAACAAAAAATCACACATAAATAAGAAAAAGATAAAGATATTTTTATAATCATAATGAATTGTTAAAAAGGGTTAAAGATCACCAATAAAATTACTTATCAGATTAATTATCAGATTTTGTTTTGATTTCTTCAAATTTCCTTTAAACTTGAATAATCGTTCCATAGACAGTAAATCCGCACTGTTCGAAGCAGGTATTGCTGTATTCGCATGACTTTAACAATTTTTCTGCATAAAAGGATACAATTTAATAATTTCGATATATAAATGATCAAAATATTTATTGAACAAAAAATCACACATAAATAAGAAAAAGATAAAGATATTTTTATAATCATAATGAATTGTTAAAAAGGGTTAAAGATCACCAATAAAATTACTTATCCACGTATAGTTATAAAGATAATTTCTATTTTTTTTTATCAACAAATTCTTTCATTATTACATGAACTATAAACAAACTGTACAATGGATATTGAAATAATTAGGTTGAAAAGAATATTGAAAATATATTTTTAATACAATACAAAAAGCCGAATTCAAAAAAAAAATAAAAGACAGAAATTCGTTAAACCTGATAAAGCTATCTCGCAGTGAAGTGAAGCGATCACATTTAGAACACCATCAATTCATCCGAAAACTTTAAATAAAACTAAAAACAAACTCGTGTCGGAGTTTTCTGAATCGCGACCTAGTATTTCCAATCCAATGGTTTAAATGAGTCGCATAAAAATCATCTAAATCTGAGGCTCAACGAGAAGTTGAAAATCATCAAACCGATGCAAATATTCAGCATCAAGAGACGCGAATACGCCAACTTCGATGAACCCAAACGTTAATTCTACGTGGCAGATATTTTCTTAAGATTCCTGACGAATTTATAAGAAGGGCACATTTCATCCGCTAAGCAGGTTCAGGATTTGTTCAGGGATTTATTGAGAGATGTCATAAACGAAAGCAGTTATAATTTGAATGAAGAACAACTCTCCGATGAGCAGAGAAAGTTTTAAAAACAATATTATTATAGTGATCTTTAGAGTATCGACTCTAATAAGGATTTAGTTTAGAGATTGCATGAAGAAGAGGCGTTAAGGCGTTGAAGAAGATTGAAGAGACGAAGGAGCAGCAGGATTTTACGAAGAATCTGTTCAAAGGAGAGATTAGTTTCTTCTCATTGTTACTATTGTTATTGCAATTTGTCTTCAGGAGAGACATTATGGAACAGTAAGATTTTTTTTTGATACGTTATTTACAGAAATAAACTTACTGCTATTGAATGACTTTAAAACGAATTATTTATATTATATACTAAATATTTGTTTGTATTATCTTTTAGATTATTTTGTTTTTTCATTGTGTTCAAATAACATTTTGTTTCTTTTAATCTTTGTAAACCGTACTAAATTCACAAGATTTGAATAAAAAAATCAAAATATTTATTGAAAAAAAAAAAGTATAATCATAATTTAAAAAAGTATCTCGATTTAGGAAGATAACTTGTTTTGAAGCATTTCAAAGCTAATTTTATATAACTTTGTTTCAATATGTTGAAAGCAATTATGCCTCGTCTCCTCGACGTTTACTCGCACTTGCTGACTTTCCACCAACTACCTATGAGAATGATTTGTCCATTCGAGCAAAGAACCGATGTAGAAACGACGTTAAGCGTAAATAATCTATTGGTTTACATTGTTACGTTTTAATGAATTGTTTGTATTTTTTAGTTGATTCTTGAATGTGAACGTCTGATTAGGTGCGGAGAGAAATTGGAGATGTGCAAATTGGAGATGATGATGAAAGACTTCAACACAATTATTAAAAGAATTGTAAAGTTCCAATCGTTCGAATGCGATTGCAAAGTCGTCACGAAGTACGTCAAACTAAATTTCAAGTCTTGTTCGGGTTTCGGCAACAAGTTGCCCGAACTGGAGGAAACCTATCGGATGTTCTCATCGTACATCCAGCAAACACTTGACAGTTTATATAAATCGCACAAAGATCCGATAAATAATAATCTGAAGCACAACGTGAAATTGAAAATCAACGACCTGACGCAACTGTTCAACATCAAGAAACGCGAATACGCCAACTTTCAGGACCGCTTCATCGATTTAACCGAATACTTAGTACGTAAGATAAAAGCCGCAGACGGTTCATCGATCTATGTGGAAGAGGCTAAAAGATACTTGAATGGAGATAACGACACATTCTTAAGCTTCATGAAGTTAGAGGACGTCGTTTTTATGGAAAGTACTTTTGGGAGCCTTTCAGGCTCTAAGCAGGTTCAGGATTTGTTAAGGAATTCTTTAAAAGATGTCATGAAGAAAAGACATTTTAGTTTGGATAATCTGGAGAAGACTGAGAAGACCGATGAACAGGAGAAGTTGTTAATGGATTTAAAAGCGCTTTATAACGATTTGGAAGAGGTTTCGACGAGCGTTGATTTCATGAAAACAACGTTCGTGCCCTCTGGCCTGACATATCTTCAGCAACCTCAGTTCAATATGAATCGCTTCAAGAAGCAGCTCGGCCAGATTCTAGGATCGTCAATTGCCGAAACGTACGAAGAAGTATAATTTCATCACATTTGACGGCACCAGGCGTTTCAATCGTTCAATCAGACGCAAGATTTGTGCTGTGGATCAATTATCTATTAATTTGACTAAAATTTGCATATTGTAAATTATAAAATTTATTATATTTTTACAAACATTCTTTTTTTATTATTATTTAACAAGTTAAGGACGGCGCTTTTCGGGTTGCCTGCCCTCAGAAAATTTTTTGTGGACGCCTATGGACTGAGTGAAACGTCAAATATTTTACGTCAATTATAACCCTTAAACGTTTAAATTTCTTATACATTTTTAATGATATTGAAGCAATTTATAACAATTGTCTGAAAAATATTGAAATTTTCATTCAATTCTACCTGCCGCTGCTCAGCTCCTAAGCAATCGAAGCAAAGATATTGTTTCTGGTAAGAAAAAAAATCTTATATTTTTTAATACTCCTTTTTGAAATACTCCTACAAGTCGAGGGTTTTCTCTAAAATTTAGTGTTGCACCGTAGAAAAAAATATACATCGACTGAGCATCGAGCCTTTCTACCATTTCATATCTTTTTTTTCAATCCCCCTTTGAAATGTAGGAGTTATTTCTGCCGCAATTGCAATTGTTGTTTCAGCTGGAAGATAATATCTATTTTGATAATAAATATGAATTTTAATGAAAATGCCGATAGTTCTTCGGAATAATCTATAAGTTTTAAATCAACACAATGTTCTCGTTGGCTTTCGTTCCTCTTCAGAAGAGATGAGTTAGTGTTATCGAAGACGAGGGTACTTATGATGAAAATAACCATTTACAAGAAATTTCTAATAATAGAGAATGGATACCTATTACGGAAAAGAGGTATGACATTAATCGATATGAATATAGATTCGAATGATCCATTTTTTCTTTATAAATTGTTTTTAACGCAATCCAATCCGAAGTGGAAAGTAACGATGGTTCAAAATTTAAAACTAGAAAACATCAGCAGTCTTGGAAACCCGTCAGTATAGCGGAAATGAAAAAAAATATTGGAATTTTGCTCATCATGGGCATAACGCAAGTTCCAGAAATTAAATTATATTGGTCCGATAATAATATGTACACCAACTTACGTATAAAAATGGCTATGAAACGTGATCGGTTTTTGAATATTTTAAAATATTTGAACTTCAGCGACAATACCACCGCCATAAACGAAAATCGTTTGAATAAATTCAAAAATATTTTGGACCAAATTATTAGTACATTTAAAAGTGTTGTAAAACCTGGAAAATATGTTGTTATAGATGAAAGCATGATACCATGGCGAGGTCGCCTTAGTTTTCGTTAGTACATTCCTGGCAAACGATACAAATATGGAATCAAATTATACAAATTATGTTTTCCTGGTGGCTATACTTACAACCTAGAAGTGTATGCAGGAAAAAATGGTGAAACTATTAACAAAGGACATTCTCATGACGTTGTAATGAGATTAGTAGACGACGTATTATATGAAGGGCGTACATTATTTACAGACAGTTTTTATACAAGTGTACCTTTAGCAGAAGAATTACTAAAAAAGTCAACATTCCTATGTGGTACTGTAAAACTTAATAGAAATTTTTTACCTGTGGAAGCAAAACAAAAACAAAAACGAGGAGCCATTTTAAGCTTGATGAACCGAAATGGGGTAAAATTTCTAAAATGGACTGATAAAAGGCCAGTTTGCATGTTAACGACCAGCAACAAACATATGTATGCTACAATTGAAGGAAAGAGCGGAAAACTGAAGCCTGATGCTGTTTTTGATTATAATAATTCAAAAAAAGGTGTTGATGTTTCTGATCAGATAACATCGTATTATAACCGTTTACGAAGAAGTGTTAAGTGGTATAAAAAAATTATAATAGAATTAATTTGTGGGACGTCAATTGCAAATGCTTGGTATATACATAAAAACTGGGGATCTGGCGAAAAATATGATTTGTTAAAATTTCGAGAAAAAAATATTGATAAACTAATGGATGACGACGATACGGAGATGCAAGCAAATCAAAAACATTTCATTGAAACGTACTCTGGTACAGCAAGACAGGCAAGAAAGCGATGTAGAGAATGTTATAAAACAATATCTTTACGGGAAGGTAGTGCAACTGCCGCTAAAAAGCAAAAATAGTAGTTTCATATTGCGCACAGTGTTATAATCAACCGACACTGTGTATCAAATGTTTTGAAGATGTCCATAAAAATAAATAAATATTTCTATTATTGAATGATCCTATTTTATTTTTGTTATATTCAATAAATATACACAACAGGGTTCGAATTTTATTGAAACGCAGAAAAGGTGCTATAGGTTTTATAATAAGAAATAACAATAATTGATCATTGCAATTTCTTTTCAAGTCGAATATATCATCTTGTGCATGTTCAAGTTGTAAGCTTGTATTGTATTTGAATAAATTAGCAATGTTTTTTAGAAACAGAGATAATATCTGCTTATTATATTCATATTGTATTTTCAATGCCGTTGCGCTTCGATTACTTAGGAGCTGAGAAGCTGCAATTATGTCACAATATCACGTATTGTTCTAAATTGCTTCAAGAATTATTAAAATATGTATAAGAAATGTATTGGCGTTTGATGTTAGTAATTGACTTAAAATCAGTGGCGTACATAGCAACAAAACTATTATTTATAATTAATGACTCAGCGGTGGGTCATGCCGTCGTCAATGTGTTAAACATACTTTATTTCCTTTAAGTAATCTGTGTATATTTGCAAATAACACAACAAAAAAAATCAATCAAAATAATAATTATCATTTGAAGTAAAACAGTTTAAAGTAAATTGTAGAACAATATGATAACAAAAAACATTGTATCAAATAAAAACTATAAAAATAATAAGAAACAATTGAATGTTCCGATTAAGTAACCCGGTTTCGAGCGCGATCCGCATTAATTTGCGAAACGTCAAAGTTATCTGCGAATGCATTGCGCGTCGATAATACTGTTCCCAAAGTTAAATCCAAGGATACTCAAAGGAAATACGTGTCACGGCTTATTTCTTGGTTATTTATAATAAAACCGTTATCTCGGTACGTTTTTAACGCCAATTTAATGCAAATCGACAATTCGCGTCGACTATAAATATGGTTGAAACCGGTATTCAGTTTTGGTTAAAATGTTGCTGGTCCTCGGTGCTTTTTTTTACGTTTTCAGTTTGGTTGATGGTAGACTCGGGGATAACGTCTGCAGCAATCTATTGGATTACGCTACAATCCTGGTCAACAATAATTGCTGGTACAATCCCGACATCTACGCTTCTCCAGTAAGATAATTTTAAGTATTCGATGTTGCATAAATATTTGTTATGAAGGAATCGATAATAGCTAACCATGGGTATTACCTGCAAACGCATACGGTGACTACGGAAGATGGATATATCCTGAACATGTTCAGGATTTCCAAGAAGCCCACGTTCGTTGCTCACAGGAAGGTGGTGTTTCTTCATCACGGTATGGCTGCTGATTCGGTGCAGTGGATCACTTTCGGTCGTCGCTCGATCGGTATGAAATTAGACTTTTCTTGTCATTTATCTGTCATCTGTCAATGTCAAAGCATTCTTGTTGGCCGATTTGGATTATGACGTTTGGATGGCGAACGCCAGAGGGACTGCCAACTCGGACCGTCACGTCAACAAGAAGCTGGGATCGAAGAATTATTGGAATTTTGGGTAAACAGTTTTAGATGTTCGATGCTATTGTTTAATCAGTTTTCACGAGATGGGCGTTTACGATCTTCCTGCCAGTTTGGAGCACGTCGCTAACATCACCGGACAGCTCGGAGAGATAGTTTACATTGGACATTCGATGGGAACCACAGCTTCGTACATTTACGCAACCGAGAAAGCTGCTCACGCCAACAAACACATCAAAGGCATCATCTCCGTAGCTCCAATAGCCTTCCTCAGTGAACTCAAATCACCATTATTCCTGATGGTTCCAATAATTAAACCAATTAATGTAATATTACTAATTAACAAGACACAATATCAATTCGATTGACAGTTCTTGTATATTTACATCATCTTTCCAATTAACTAACAGTTTTATCTCTAATAGACGTTTTTGAATACGATTGGAATTTACGTCGTGAACAACCAAAAACCTGCGGAAAATCTGAAGCCATGTCTATCGTTTCCGTTGATAGGAATTTGCTTGGGTTTCTGGTACCTAATCGGTGGTCAGAGTACGGAGCAATCATATGTGAGTATTGGAACGCAAACTGTTAGTCTTCCGCAGATCAATAACGTTTCCGCTTAATATCGAAAGCACAGTTTACTTAGGACTTTGTTAAATTGTATTCCTGTTGCGTAATGTCCACCACAAATTGATACATCTCAAACGCATTTGACGTTGACGTATTGCGATGACAACGTCAAATTATTAATACGCCATCTATTGGCGAGCGTCAATTATTATACAAATTAATACAAAATCTATAAAAGTTTTCTTGTTTTCTTCTTCAATCAATTAAAAAAATCAACTAATAAATTAAATCATATTACTTACGTTATCATTACAGATTTATTTATTTATTCGAATTCAATAATTACATTTAAAAATTTGACATTGACGTATTTGCAAATGTTTCTAAATGTTGGTGTGAAATAAAATACTCCAATAGTTTCATTATAAAATTCAAATTTTGTGATGAAATAAAACAACAAAATTAAACCTGTAAATTAAGATTAAGATTTGTGTATTTTTTTTTTAGGAAGACGTACCAATCTACTTTTCCAATTTACCAGCACCTGTAACGACGAAGGGTTTGGCTCATTACAGTCAAATCCTGTTGAAGGGCGGTCGTTTCCAAAAGTACGATTACGGTTTAGATAATTTCAGAATCTACGGCAGTTTCATCCCACCTGTATACGACGTGACTAAAATCACTTTACCTGTACATATGTTTTATGGACTTGCAGATACGCTCGCCGTTGATACAGTATGTATATTTATTTTTTTTTAGTATATTAGTCATAGATAATTTTCATACATTCATTAATTTTCAGGACGTTTTAACTTTATTCAATAATTTGAGGACACGGAAGAAGAGTATGCAAGTGATTCCAACGAATACGTCAATCAAATTCAGTCACTTCGATTTCATAACTTCGAAGCATATCGCGAAGCACTTCATACCCTATCTACAAATTAAAATCCAAGAGATACTAAATACTTAATTGCTATTTGACAGTTAATTTCAGTAATTAATAAATTGTCTTTAATACCTTAACTAAAGTTCTAAAATAGATAAACAGAAATACCATTAAGTAATTAGATATAATATCCTAATCTAATCCTAAGCTAATCTAAACAAAATACTACAATTTCATTTAAATATAACATCCTAATCTAAACATGTCTTAACTTAACCCAGTGGTCGGCAAAGTGCGGCTCCAGAGCCGCATGTGTCTCTTTGGCTCCTTTTGGCTCTGTTACAAATATCCAAGGACAACAACATACAAACCTGACTTATTCAAACTTTCCAAGGAGATGCAAGCACATTGTTCGCATTAATAAATATTTATTAAGTATGAAATTTAGTTTTATTTAGAGTAATAAAAGTTTATTAAACAAGCAGATTTGACTCTCAATTTTTTATTAAATAGTTGTAATGTTCATATTTGCTTCTTTGGCTAATAAATTTGCCGACCACTGACCTAACCTAACCTATGTCTGTACCTCTTTCTGCGTTGCACCATTGTGCGTTTAGAAGTTATAATCGTTATAATCATTATAATCTCTCATAATCTGATGAACACTCGTAGAGCTCCTACACATCTGTAAGTACTTGCGTGCCGTTTAGCCACATTAGTTCGACACTTCCAACTTAACCTAACTTTTCCAACTTAACCTAACTTTTCCAACTTAACCTAACTTTCCTAACTTTTTTTTATAGAGGAATGGAAACCTTCAAAAGGAACCACGGCTGGAACGGAACCGTGCTATTGTGCGATTCTTCCTAACCTAATCTATAACTAATATTGACATCAACTGACATAACCTAAATAAATACATTATTTTCTTAATATGCACTCTCACTGTTACAATTAGGAATACTCTTTGAATTTGGAAGGATTTATTACTTTTTTATTTTACAGTTTGAAATAACAATGAGAAAGATGTCTCAGATTTAATAAAGCCAACCTCAATAGGGATGTCGTAAATCTTATTTAATTGTGAAGCGATTCCGATGTACCTCCGACGAGTCGACCTCCGGGATCCGAGATTGAGTTCGTGGCTTCAGGATAGACAACGTGGAAATTGGAGCACGTTTTCCTACACATTTTTTTTTTGCAATACACACTTGTGCACTTGGAAGTTCGACAGGGATGCGTGAATTCCGATCCGCACTAACTGCATCCAATAACACCAAAACCCATTATCCAAGAATATTGCTGCTTTGTTCCTTGCACTTCAAATTCTCTCTAACGATCTCACAGTTCGAAGTTAGCATTATATAATGTTATTTATACTTTACTTATATATTCTCATTTCTAGTTTCATATTTTATTTTATAGTGCGTATATATGAATCTACATAAACGAATTTACGGGTCGGAAAAGTTTTTATATTTGTTCTGAAGCCATAAACAATTGCATTACGTGATGATGATAAAAGTTTTTATATATATATGTATACGTGTATTAAATTTTCTGTTGTGTCTGAGGATGGAAAACGTTCGAAACAATTGTAAATAAATAAGGGCATTTCGCTCGGCACGGAATGGGCATAAAATGTTCGAGTTGATGAGGAAACGTTTCAATGGCAGATGCATTAAATGTTTACGTCTTTCTGCGAAGGAAATCGCAATTTTTTGTTCATGAAAATTGATTTGAAATCGCATTTTATTTCGGACAGAAACATAAATTCTCAAACTATTATACGTTTTATGATGCAACTATTATACTTATTACAATTTTAAACAAATGTCGTACAATTTTGTATAGATGTAATAACTTTTTTTTAATAATATTCATGTTGATTTTAAATAATTGTTGATAGAAATTGAGTTTATATGTTTGTTTGTTTTTTTTATCATTAAATGTTTAAATTGTTTTAAAAGTTACATGTATCTTGAGTTGATGTCGGTTGTAAGTTTTGGAAGTGCATCGTCGACGTTTTGCGAAGTTTGCGCAAACTATTATTCATTGGTGTTCTGATAATTAATCGTGCGATGCAGAAACTTCTCCTCAACTTCTCTCCGTCCAATTTCTACTATCTATCATCCGGTTCAGGATGCTGTGGAAAAGAACAAAAACAAACTGCATCCCATGTTTCATATTATTTTTTTATGGATTTATGATAATTCCTTGAAAGAAAATTATAAATATTATTCAATTTGTGAGAAATAAATTTAGAAATTTAAATTTTTTTTAATTATTTCAAAGGGATTTATGAAATTTGTTGTAAATATAAACTAATTACAATTATAAATATCATTATTCATGGAAATATTAGAATAGTTTTTCAATTTAGAAAAAATATTTTTTTAAATTTTTCCACATGAATTTATTTTTAAAATTTCGATTTTTTTGTAATTTTTACTCATTTTATATGCGTTTATGAAATTTACTGTAAAATAAAAATAATTACAATTATAAATTTTATTATTCATTGAAATATTTGAAAATATTTTCAATTTGTAAGAAATATTTTTTTAAAATTTATTTACTAGAATTATTTTTAATTGGATTTTTTCAAATAAAACTATTATAAATCTCTTTAATATTCCAAATTATTACATTTTAATAATGTAATACAAAATTAATTAGTTCTGAAACTTTGAGCTGAAAATCTATCTATTTTTTTAACAATAAATACGCAATTAGTTTGCAGATTATTTCATAAATATCATCAATTTATCAACGAAATCTCGCATTAGTTTCAATCAATTGATGTGCACGCATTAACTGGACTTTGGATGCTGCGTACCTGTGCGCTGCAAATTCCAATTTATCACAACTATATTTTACACCTGAATTTTCGCGAATCCGTTCCATTAAATTCTAATTTCGCACGTCCATAAATAATGTTTTACCTGGAACTATAAATTCATCAAGCGAAATGTACGAATTACAATTAATGCACGAATAATTGAAAATATTGCAATTATTAGATTTTATATAATGGAAAAACTATTTTTTTTCGAGTTTTTGAGAAATAACGTTTTTCTAAGTCTTCACCTTTTGTTAAATTGATCAAAAATCGCGTAAGCTAATTAGATTATCTTATATACAAATTAAAGAGTCCAATGGTAGGTAGCTATGTGTTGTTACCCGTTAATTTGTTACGAGCGTTCAAAAATGTCAAATAACAAAAGTTGCGAATTATCAATTACGTAATTGAGAATAAGCCTTCACCTTTTGTTAAATTACTCGACATTCGCGTAAGCTAATTAGATCATTTTATACTCAAATTAAAGCTGAAAGTCCTACCCATCTGAAGAGTGTAGCTTTGTGTTGTAACTCGTTAATTTGTTACGAGCTGTCAAAAATGTTAAATAAGAAAAGTTGCGAATTGTCAATTACGTAATTGAGAAATAATGTTTTCTCTAAGTCTTGACCATTTGTTAAATTACTCAACATTTGCGTAAGTTAATTAGAATATATTATACTCAACTTAAAACTAAAAGTCCTACCTATCTAAAGATTCCACTGGTAGCTTTCTGTTGAAACTCGTTAATTTGTTACGAGCTGTCAAAAATGTCAAATAACAAAAGTTGCAAATTGTCAATTTTGTAATTGAGAAATGACGTTTTCTCTAAGTCTTCACCATTTGTTAAATTACTCGACATTCGCATAAGCTAATTAGATTATTGTATACTCAAATTAAAGCAGAAAGTCTTACCTATCGAAAGAGTCCAGTTGTAGCTTTGTGTTGTAAGCCGCTACTTTGTTACGAGCTGTCAAAAATGTCAAATAAGAAAAGTTGCGAACTGTCAATTACGTAATTGAGAAATAACGTCTTCTCTAAGTCTTCACCATTTGTTAAATTTCTCGACATTCGCATAAGCTAATTAGATTATCTTATACTCAAATTGAAGCTGAAAGTTTTACCTATCTAAAGAATCCACTGGTAGCTTTGTGTTATAACCCGTTAATTTGTTGCAAGCTGTCAAAAATGTCAATTACGTAATTGAGAAATAACGTCTTTTCTAAGTCTTCGCCTTTTGTTAAATTAGTCGACATTTGCGTAAGCTAATTAGATTATCTTATACTCAAATTAAAGCTGAAAGTCCTACCTATCTAAAGAGTCCAGTAGCAGCTTTGTGTTGTAACCCGTTAATTTGTTACGAGCTGCCAAAAATGTCAAATAACAAAAGTTGGGAATTGTCAATTACGTAATTGAGAAATAACGTTTTCTCTAAGTCTTCACCTTTTGTTAAAATACTCAACATTTGCGTAAGCTAATTAGAATATCTTATACTCAACTTAAAACTAAAAGTCCTACCTATCTAAAGATTCCACTGGTAGCTTTCTGTTGTAACCCGTTAATTTGTTACGATCTGCCAAAAATGTCAAATAACAAAAGTTGGGAATTGTCAATTACGTAATTGAGAAATAACGTCTTCTCTAAGTCTTCACCTTTTGTTAAATTACTTGACATTTGCGTAAGCTAATTAGTTTATCTGGTAACTTTATGTTATCACCTGTTAATTCGGTACATGCTATTAAAAAATGTCTCTGTCTTTGCTACAAACTGACACCTTTTGAAAACAATATAAATTTTTTACAAATTTGCTAAATATTGAAACTGTAAATTGAATGCTAAAAGTGAAACAGATAGATTTATATAATGATGATGATGAAACGTGTAAATTGAAGAGAAAACTAACGATGCGAATCCAATTAAAAGTTCGGTATTTAATTCGTGATCCCGGGAAACGGGGTAAAACCAGCAGATGCGTGAGCGTTTCACCCGTTTGATGTCTTCCCAGTTTTGTTGATGATGGAATAGGGTGGTGTGTATCTTGCGCGATGTTCGATGTGGATGTAGCGGATTGAAACGAAGCGAAGATCCTCGTTTCAATAGGATTTCGCCGTATGATTTTGCCTGTGAATAATTGAATAATGTTTAAGAACGAGACACGTCTCAACCTCTATCTTTCTCCGCGTCTCTTTATTTCAATACACTTCTCTCAGTTTTACCTATTATTGCAATATCTCCGTCTTAGCTTCACTCACAGGACTTCTTCTCTGTTTCTCTTTGCACAGAGAGTAAATTAATTTTCGCCGACGTGCAAAGAACA